CACCCCCTCCTCCCCTCCCCACTGGCTAATTCTTTTAATCTTGTTATAATAAAATCTAACTTAAATAAACTTTGTAATTTATAAGATTTCAATAAGAAAAGTCTTAAAATGGTCTGGGGACATAGCTCAGTGACAGAGCACTAGCCAAATATGCCTGAGGCCCAGCTTCAATCCTCAGCAACACAAAAACAAATAAACAAAAAAACCACTTAATGATTCTCTACCCAACAAAAGGAAAATATAATACTAACATCAAGTTATTGTTTCTAAAAAGGAAACTCAAGTGTTTCGCTTATCAGTCTTTTTTTTTTTTTTTGGCTTATCAGTCTTTCAGAAGAATTGACTACAGCCAAGAAAAGCATTAGGGCTAGTAATTATTCATTTGCTAATTTATCACTGCAGACCCATTATGAGAGTATAAATGTATGCTTATGCAGGTCCATTTGAATGTACCATAAAGCCATCCATTATGAATAAGTATAATGGCACCTAGACAGCTTATAAACACCTAAATAGTAACCTACTTATCTCCCACTATGCTATGTACCATTTACTTTACACTTTTTTAGTTTTATTATGTTCTCCCTTCACCTATCCATTAAGTTCTCATTTAATTCCACAAAAGAAGGCTTTGAAACACTGGTGGCCTGAATGTAATATATTTAAAGACTAACTACAACTACAGTTGTTCCAAACTTTAAAATTCTAGTCTACCAAAGTTCCTAAAGAATCAATTTCCAGTCTTCTATCCCTCACTACAAATTCAATTTACAAAATACAGGTATTCTGATAAAGATGGGCTTTTTCCAGGGCTAGGGAGTTAGCTCAGTGGCACCATGCCTGCCTCTCAAGCACAGGTCCTGAGTTTGATCCCCGGTACAAAAAAAAAAAAAAAATTTTTCTTTTTCTGTGGAATTGATCCTACTTGCCTACTAAATTTCATTAGAAAACTAAAAATCCCTGCAATACAGTCCATGGGAAACATACATACAATTCCTGAGGTACAAGCCATGGATGGGAAGGCTGCATTAAGCAAGAGACCTCATGCAACAGAATGAAAGGAAACATGCAGCTTGGTTATTGCTTCATGGTCCTTTAAAAAAAAAAAAAAAAAAAAAAAAAAAAAACTTCAAAATGCATTTAATTTCTTTTTTTTTTTTTCAGCTTTAATTGAGTTTATTGGTACCTTTTAGGGACACAGTACAGTTACATTCATTGTTGAGATCTTGTACCTCTACATGACAGGTCTTGGTTCTCATTTTCAAAATGCATTTCTAAATCTAGGCAATTCCTCAAAGATAGGAATGAGTGTAATAAAATATTTTCACATGACTTCAGAGAACATTAGTCTGTTCTCCCTAAAAAGTTTAATCCTCAGGAACTCTGCATGTGATTACAAACACACCAGAATCCATCATTTCACAAGTGGTTTCACAAAATACTCAGGTAACATTAACAAAAGATGGTATCACAGAAAGACAGTTGGGGGGCTGTAGTTTCAGATGAAAAACACACATACCTGTGGAAGTGCAGAATTGAGCTGTCTCTGCAAGGAGTCTCTTTCATGACCAACCTCGTGTAATTTCCCCTGGGTTAATGCCAATGTTTCTTGAGTCTCTCTCAGTGTGTCAAGAAGACGGTCCCTTTCTTCTAGCATGGAGACCATGAGCTGTTCAAAATGGGAATCTGCATCTGGCTGTGAGGGGGAGCCAGGTCCATGGCTTCCACTTCCTCCTGGGGGGCCTTCTGCTTCACTGATAGTGGGCATCACTTCGCACATCATCTTGAAACAAAAAACCCGGACTAGTGTTATTAAGTGCACAATACAGGTTCCCACAAACGTATGACTTTATGAGTATCTGTAGCTAGTAAAGGAAAGTTGACAGTTTCCTTACTTCTGATCTGTTATTCTTTGTATGCAAATACTCTGTGAAGCTATACACAGGCAAACATTAAATGCAAAAAGACATAACATGAAGACATCAAAGGAGACAACAATCCAAGGAGGAGGGAAGAGCCAAAGAGAACTACCTACTTCTATAAAGAGCAAACCCTACGAGGTTTTGCTTGCAAAGCCAGACTTTTTAGTTTTGAAAACAAGTGTGCTTCTGTGACCTATTTTTCTCTTTTCCCGGTGGGAGCACATGCCACCCAATCATTTTTCCGGGAAAGCACAGAAGGAGTATACAGCCAGGAAAACTGACAAGTACAAAATCCACCAGGCATCTTAGAGGAATGTGTGCAGTCAGCTCCTGGGAAGGATTGCCTGCTCCCTGAATTCTTGGGCTGGATTTAGTGAACACTGAGAGGAATCGGATTCGCTAAGGCCCACCAGAGATATTTTTCAATGGCTGCAATGGCTGGTCAGTCCAACGTAACTTACGTAAGTTTACAGCTTTAAAAAAAAAATTCCATAATGGAAATACAACAGGTCAATACAGTGGAGAACTGCTAGGAAGGTAGGAAAGGGGAAAGGTGAGACTATGAGAGGCTATTAAGTATGTCACATAAACAGACGGGCCGAAGAGGGCGAAAGGGGCTACTTGAAGACTTCCAGGCAATATTCCGGGCAGGGCGACCCTCGAGCAAGAGAAGCCCACGACCGCACACCTGACGGCGATTACTTCTACCACCGTACCGGGTGCTGCAGAAGCCCAGACCCACTTACCCTAGAGCCCGCCGGGATGCGGCCACAGGTGCGCGGCCGAGGTCACCGGGGCGACGGGTCAGGGAGGGGGGGACGCGCAGCAGTTACAGCCGAGTCCCTCGAGGCA